TGATAATGCGTCCGATTTATTACATCGAATTTGTAATAAAGTGATAGGGTCAAGGAAATGATACAGCTCACGCTGTTATATATCATTTGTAATTGACCGACTCTTATGGACAGCTTCCTTGTCTTTTCCGTAACCTATTAATATAAGCACGTGAATACATTTATCTAATTGTCTGTTATTGAATAGGATATATCCACATTAATATGTTAATTATTATGTATGATTATACTATGATTAATGGTTTTGCAGTGTGGTTATCGTAAATATCTTATAACATAAAATATATTTGCTATTAGTTTTTATGGCTATTGTGTTTTATAGCTTAAGTTTTTTTGTCCCTTTAATCGTAGTACTGTCAAACGTTTATTGACAAAATTGAATAATGTTTTAACATCATAGTTCCGTTTAGAAACTGCTGGATTTGAAAGTTCTAGATGTTAGATCCCCTTTACTTTGAAAATAACCTCACTCAAAGTCACAGTAGACTGGGTGTCTGTTGCCGACCGTGACCACTTACCGTGAGGTTCCTCAAGTAATTTATAATCTAAGCGAAACGCTTTAAAAACGCTCGAAATAGAAAAACATATACACAACTTAAAAATTTACTTCAAAAAACTTCGCTAAAATCTTATATATTGAGATGATAAATTATTGTCAAAATTAGTAAGATGTTTACGACTAAATATCTCAAGATGATCTCCTTGATATTCTTTTATTAATATGTAAAACCGAAATATATGTTTAACATGAAATTTAAAACTAATATTTTAATTTACGAGTTGTGGCAGTTGGTCATTTTTTTTAATTCGTACATATTAACTTATTTAAATCAAGTTTTCAAACAATTTATTTGACGGCTAAATGTGATGATCCAGATAACGGTATTAATAATGCGAATATAATTGATTACAGCCTTTTTTTAACGAGGGGCTGGGCGCCGGAGCATCGCACGCGTTGGGGCTGTGGGGTGTGGGACCACGAAACAAACCCAACAACGCTTTTCCAACCGAACAGTACGATTCCCCGGTCATCGTCCTCGTCGAACCCGGCGCTTGCGACGAAAGGCTCGGCGAGTAAATTAACTCACAGACACAGCCCACTGAGTTTCTCGCCGGATCTTCTCAGTGGGTCGCGTTTCCGATCCGGTGGTAGATTCTGCGAAGCACGGCTCTTGCTAGGGTCCGTGTTAGCAACGTCGTCAGGTTTGAGCCCCATAAGCTCACCTACTAGTTAAGGTTACGCAGAAATAGCCTCTCAAGGCTATAAGCTTAGGTAGGAAAAAATCGGTAGTCTGTAAAGTCGGTTTACTGACGATAGTTGAACGTGACAACGTCATAAGAAAATACTGATGGAATGGTTTCATTTTTCAATTATCGTTGCTATAAACAATTGACACCACATTCACTTTTCACTGAACTTCATACTTGACGAAAACATATAAATGTATTATTGTATAGCAGCTAACCATGCGGATGCATCGCTCACTCAAGTAGGAGAGAGACAGATGTCGAACGCTGCCGAACGCGGAGGCCGATTGTGCCTCTTTGTCGCTAATTGCGCGCTCTCGCTTGCACTTCAAGCCTTAAATGGAACGCCTCAAAGCGAGGTAACGCCGCACGCGTCATGTTTTTTCGTGCGTGCAGCCGGATCCATCGAATTATAAGACGTTGTCACGTCAAAAAAGAAAAAGAGGTACGATTCCTGCTTAGACAGAACTCGGAAAGAACAACGCTGGCGAACGCAAATTTCTTCAGTACAGAACATGACACGCTGACTACCTCGTAATAATCGTAAAGACGAATTGAAAGCAACTATAATAACAAAATAAGATTATAGTTTCAAATTTTTGAGAACCCAAAACAGGAACATAATTCTTATGTTGTACAATCTTAATTAAAGGCAATGAATTATAAATAAATAATAAAACGCACTATAAGTTGTTAAAAAAATGTGAATTACATTAATTAATTATTTTATAACAATCCGGTTATGAGGAAGTCATTTAAATAGCTCCAATCTGAAAGTAAACTTAATTTATAATAAATAGACGAATTAAGTCAAATAAATTTTAAATTCCGACATCGTAGCGTCGTCACTACGAGATATTGATAAAAATCTACTCGTTTGTTTTCCTAGGAAAGCGACAACGTTTAGCACTACAAAACAATTACGAAATGAAATGAGAATCACATCCAAAAAGTTCTGAACATATTATACTATTAAATTTACGTTCGTTCATAGCGCAGTCTTAATTCTTGTAATTTAAGTAGATACTAAAAAGCGGATTTCCTTGTTAATATATTACTACGATGAAATTTCAATTGAATATTCATTACGACTGGTAATAAATATAAAATGGATAAAATCATGCCATAGTGCCATCGATTTTAATACATAATTAGTAAATAGAATAAAATTTATTGCTTAAATTAATGGACGAACTCACGGCATATCTAGTATTAAATGGTTACCGAAGCCAAAAGATATCGACAACGTTCTGAGTCGGAGTCCTGAGTTCTGAGTCTCAATTTTTATAGTACAACGGCTGCCCCACTTCTCAAACCGAAACGCAACGGCTTCGCCGAAATCATATTCAGGATGGTGGCCGTCACTATTCGACCGGGCTTGCAACACGCCCTGCCACCAGTCAATAGCAGTGATGATCAAAGTACACTGGTATAATACTAAGATAACTCTTTCACCCATTTTCTGATATATGCCTTTGTCGCCTTATACGAACTCACGCGAAGAGATGGGGCTGTGTGACTATATACATTAAAAACACTACAAATTCAGTCCCAGTGTATCCAGCAATATCGGGAACTCATTAAATATAAAAATCGTGATAAAAACAGTTAACTACTTATACCGTATTTATAACTGGTTTTATTCTAAGCTTCACTGCCAAAGATCCCTTTGTTTCCTACTTGGATATTGATACGCGGAACTGTCTCCTTTAACCTAAATGCATAATACGTAGCCATAAGTTCTGCAAAACAATATAGCAACTAAGAATTCAATATTCTGTTTTACTAAAGCGTTCGAATTCAAGTATTAAGGCTTTTGGTAACTAGTTTGCGTAACGCAGCGATCGTGTTACGACTCACGTAAGCAATAGCCTATAGCTAAACGAATAACCGTTAAAATTGAGTCCATGATCAAGTTCAAGACTATTGATAAATATAACTTTCGTAATTTACATAACGGTTATTAAAAAAAAAATTAAATTGTATACAACTCAAACAAAATAATGGTAACAAGATTAAATTTTTTTGTAAGGTTGTATGTACCTTAAACACTTTTCAAACTGGACTTACTACAAAACTAAAATGATATACTATATTTCACTTCATTTATTTAGTTCTTGGTTTTGATGGACAATCTCACGGCCCCACTGACGTTAAAGCAGTAATGGATCCTGTAGACATCGGGAAGAAGTCGTAATCTTGACTAATAGTATAGTAATTCACTAGTATAGATTATTGACTACACTGTACTTGCAGAAATAAAAAATATAAATCCAAATATAGTCATCCAGCGATATCATATACTTAATCCAATTCACCCATTTCGAGAAAACGGCGCGGCACGAAAACCCTCTTGTCGTGGCCGCCAGAAACTACATACACATTGAATCGTTCGAATATATTAAATTGCAGGAGGATTTCAGTAATGGTGCGGCGACTAAACTAACCCATAGACACAACCACCTAAGTTTCTCGCCGGGTCTTCTCAGTGATATTCGACTATAATTAATTGAAATTGTAAGTTTGTACACTATTATGATTGTATTATCAAAGACTATTATACTTCTATAATCAAGACCAATTCGCCAAGACTACACTATGAAATAATATTAATAAAGACAAACAATATGTAATCTATTCTCAATTTGACCACAGACGTCAAGAACAAAAGTTTGACAATAAATAAATAGTATGCATGCGTGTGCGCGTCAAATACATGGTAGTGTGTATAATGCTTTTTTTATTGATTTAATGTATTTTTAGGCATAATTTAAAAAAAAATAACACTGCATTCCTTCTCTATATTCTTTATAAGTATGGGAAATTTCATACTCCTCCGTCCGCGCAATTTTCGTAAAAAGGGATACAAAGTTTTTCCTTCACGTATTAATATATAGATATTTTAACGTATATATGTAAGAATGTATGTAAGTCTCTGGTACCCATAACACGGGGATTCTTAAATTGAGGGCGGATGACTTTATTTACTTACGAGTAATTAAGTATTCTACAATAAGCTTGATCTTTTATTGGCCGTAATATCTAAACAATTTAAAACAAAATGGAAGAGATTCATCTTTTCGTTCTCTAGAATTATCTATACATGATCAGAGAAGTAGCAGGCCAGAGCATTTAAGGAATTGAAATAAAACACTTCACATTTCTACTGGACACTTTATTGAAATAAAATACATTACATTGATAAGATTACGTTTTTAGTTTAAGTTCACACTAGATTTGATTTAAATTTTTCAAATAACACAAACCAGTAATATCCTAATAAAATCAATGCAAAAATAGTTAGCACAAACAAAGAAAAGGCTTGAAAAAAATAATAATTTTAAAACACGTTAATAATAAAGATAGGCGGTTGTAAATTTTAAATAAACGATACGATCATATTATTTTTCAGATACCAAATATTTCATACATTTATGATTTTTAAATATACTAGTATGATAATAATAATTTGTCATTTATATCTCTATCTTTCCTTCTGATCAATTTCAAATAGTTATAACCGTCTTTCCATATGACGTTGTATGTTTATTATATCCGATACACGGTTATGAGATACATATTAATTCACACTTCGGCAAGCAGTTTTTTTTTTATCGCTTAGATGGTTGGACGAGCTCACAGCCGACCTGTTAAGTGGTTACTGGAACCCATAGACATCTACAACGTAAATGCGCCACACACCTTGAGATATAAGTTTTAAGATCTCAGTATAGTTACAACGGCTGCCCTACCCTTCAAACCGAAACGCATTACTGCTTCATGGCAGAAATAGGCAGGGTGGTGGTACCTACCCGCGCGGACTCACAAGAGGTCCTACCACCAGTAAAAGCAGATGCAAATAATCAGACGAATAAATGCATGTCAAAGCATCAGAACCTGATGAAACGAATCCTAGCGCAAGAGTAAACAATATATACTCCGCAAAACAACACCATATCATATAAGTTGAGAATATGATGATGGTGTAGGGCCTTAACCAAACTCGCACATCTTATCCTGGACCAATTATAATTTAAGTCACTCAATTAGTACAGATGAAACAATTTATATCAGAGTTTATACCTCTGATGTCGAGATACAATATATTATGGTTTTTACATGACAACCGCGAACTAAAAAGCGCTTGAGGCAATTTGAGTCTCACATGCAAATCTATAAAACTAAAAAGTGAAACTTCTTTGGTTTATCTTCTGTATTTTGTGCGAGCGAAACCTACCGGATTAACTCGGTACAAAGAACATTAGTTTTTAAATTTTTCATTAACTCAAAGAAGTTTCCCTTAAAAAAATCATACGTTTTATATTTTCATTAAAAAAAATCTTGATTTTACACAAAAACCTATCTAATTTCTGTCATGAAACAATCATATTTATAGAGTAAGAGACGTGTTTATAATTTTCATTGCAAAAGGCATGGTTATTGATATTAATATAATAAGATTACGAATGAAGTCATTCGTTGTTATACGTGTTTTATTAAATAGTGATTACATATACATTTTTAAAATATCATCTTGTTAGACGAAGAACATACGGCTCTGTTTCAGCATGCTGTCGAGGACCCGGAGACGTTTGGGATTCTTCTCGAGATCGTTATTATTGAATATCTCGCCACTGAAATAAACAAAAATGTTAACACATTCATTCAACGAGGTAACATTTATTAGTGACTAGCGACCCGCCCTCGCTTCGCTTCGAAAACTGTAATTTATTATTGATTTCTGCACTATTTAATGGATGTTATCATACATATAAACCTTTCTCTTTAATCACTCTATCTATTAAAAAAAATGCCGCATCAAAATCCGTTGCGTAGTTTTAAAGATACATGCATACATAGGGATATATGGACAGAGAAGACGATTTTGTTTTATACTATGTAGTGATTAGCGTGATTAGCGTGAGCTCGCGCAGATTACGACAAAATTCCGGTCTGGATAAGGCAAAACAAAAAAACGGTTACAAAGTTTTGAAGTGATAACTTCTTCATCATCAGTCTATAGCAGCCCATTGGACATAAGCCTCTCCAATTGCAAGCCACTGGGCGTTAACTTAATAAATTAACCTCTCATGGGAGGGTAAACCACTTCGTTACGTAACGCGTTACGACGCCTGTCTGGCTTCTCTTTCTCTCATGCATAAAGCAGCGGTACTGAGAATGTATACAACTCCTAACTACTTATAAATCTCTTTCAATTTATGTTACAATTTTCCTTGCATTATCATAATTATTAATCTATACTAATATTATAAAGAGGAAAGATTTGTTTGTTTGTTTGTTTCGAATAGACTCCGAAACTACTGGACCGATTTGAAAAATTCTTTTTCCATTAGAAGCCGACATTGTCCCTGATGAACATAGGCTACTTTTTTTTTATTTTTTTTTATTTATTTTTTTTGGTTTCATGTGTGTTTTAATGTTTCCGAAGCGAAGCGAGGGCGGGTCGCTAGTAATACATAAAATTTAAGTAATAACCTGAGCTTTTCTCAAGGCAAACAATTTCATCATTATGTAGTTCAACTTAGGCGTCCCGAGACGCATATATAATATTTTTTTAAATCATAGCTGTTGCCTTAAGGATGACTAGGGCCTAGCTGCTATTTGCTGTCAGTACGAGCTGGGTTAATACAAGTAAACTGGCGTCTCAAAGATGACTATTGGCTAGCTGTTTTTTACTATCGGTACGGGCTGGGTTAGGTCGTCTCAAGGATGACTTGCGCCTAGCTGCTTTTTGCTGACGGTACGGGCTGGGTTAGGGCAAGTAAAACAAAGATAGTTACTAGGTGAGCGAGCGAGCCCGCAGACAGGCCAAGTGCGCGTAGTAGGTCGGCGCGGGGTATGACACGGCGCGCATACAACGCGCGTACAGATGGCACAGGTAGTACGCGAGGTGCTCCACTTCGTTCTCCGGGATCCTGCCGTCGTTGCAGACGGCGTGGTAGCGCGTCGGACGAGCCGTGCCCTTGATCGCTTGGTGAGACACCTACAAATGCGATTTCGATTATAATTTTAATTTTTTTTATTGCTTAAGTGTGTGAACGAGATCACGGCCCAGCCACCCACCTTGAGATATGAGTTCTAAGGTCTCAGTATAGTTATAGCGGTTGCCCCAAGCTTCAAACCAATACACATTACTGCTTCACGGCAGAAACAGAGAGGGCGGTGGTACCTACCCGTGCGGACTCACAAGAGATCCTACCACCAGTAATTACGCAAATTATAATTTTGCGGATTTGATTTTTATTATACACGATGTTATTCCTTCGCCGTAGAAGTCAATCGTGAACATTTGTTAAGTACGTATTTCATTATTAAATTATAAAAAATTGGTACCCGCCTGCGGGATTCGAACACCGGTACATCGCTAGTAACGTATGCACCGGATGTCTTATCGTTTAGGCCACGACGACTTCAAAACAACACACTGAAGAGTTTAAATCGCGTGAACTTATTTTCGATTGTAATGAAATTTGGTACAGGGCTTCAGTTTCTGACATAGTACCATCAACGCACGACAGGCGGCTCACGAGTAGATTCAACGTGACTTGACCGGATTTCACTTGTTAAATATATAATGTATATCGTTATACTCTATACTTACCAAATAGAAGTCCAATTCACGTGGATGTACTATATCACGGTCGACCACAGTCCCCGGATCGACGTTGAAACGGGCGTTGTTCCCGGGCAGGAAGAATCTAAAACAAATAAATAGTAAAGAATTTCTTGAGGAGCTAATAAGTACGTATTTCGAAATTATATGAATTTACTACCAAGACTTATGTTCCCAATGTTACTATCAGATAATTATAGTATAGTAATAGTATTAGTAATAGAATAGAGAAAGGCAACCAGACCCAAATTGCAAAAAATTTCTAAAACACAGTTAATAAAGTATATTACTGAATTCAAATCACTATTCATTCGTTGATTTTATCTGAAGTTTAGAATCAATCTACAAAATATATATATTTTTAACAGCAATTAACCCTTTTAGTGCTGTTTATTTACACATATTATTTTATTAAATTCCTAATTCGACTATATTTCTTTAACCTTTTTTCAGTGTCTAAATTCGTGTCAACTCACTATGATCTACTTTCTTGTTTTTAATGCCCTTGTAGGCAGACGAGCATATGGTCCGGATGATGAGTAGTTACCGTCGCCCATGGACGTCAGCAATACCAAGAGCACAGCCAAGCCGCTGCCTACAAAACTCAAAGCAAAGAAAAAACCAACGAACCTCGTGTGATGACGTTTTTGTACAAGAATGAACAATACTTCTGGTTTAGCGTTCAATCCCGCGACACGTTGGTAGGCGCGATGCAATCCAGTCAGTTCACTCTTCATTACCTGATTCATAAACAATAATAATGTACAAACAAATATCTTAAATTCTATATATTTATTGTTATAAATGAAACAGAGATAGTGGTGGTAGGACCTCTTGTGTATCCGCACGGGTAGGTACCACCGCCCTGCCTATTTCTGCCGTGAAGCAGTAATGCGTTTCGGTTTGAAGGGTGGGGCAGCCGCTGTAACTATACTGAGACATTAGATATTAGACATCTTAAGATGGATGGCGCATTTACGTCGTAGATGTCTATGGGCTCCAGTAACCACTTAACACCAGGTCGGCTGTGAGCTCGTCCAACCTCTAAGCAACAAAAAAAAAAATTTAAAATATATCAGTGGGTCGAGTTTCCAATCCGGTGGTAAATTCTGCGTAGCACTGTTCTTACTAGGGCTAGTGTTAGCAACGTCACCAAGTAAGAACCCGGTGAGCTCACCTAATCGCCCGGCGAATCTAATATGGCACTAATAAAATAAAGTAATAAGCAGTAATGGACGTCATATTACATCGTAACACGCACCTCAGCAAATTGACCCTCAGAAACCCCGTCACGGAACACGAACACCTTCTTCGGCAGAATCCCCTGACTTTTCTTGAAAGCATGGAAATGATCCACCATTATGTCCTCAAACTGAACGATCATCTCTTTCTGTAACGTAACAACGATTTGATTTTATAGCTTTGATTAATAAACAGATGATGACGCGTGTTTAATTTGGATCTCTCCTCTGCGTATTCTACAAGCTCTTCAAGGGAATAAGGAAGGAGTCTGTTGTGCTGTGTAGTTAGTCCAAATCACTTTTTACCATGTGAATCAATTACGATTTCCAGACTGTTTCTATCTGGTGATAACTGGTGAAGGAAGGATTTACAAGGAAAAATGAGTTAAGAACAAGAATTATGAAGTCCCAAGATAAGCATAAGCCCTTGACATTGCCAATTTCCATGGACGGCAGTAATCTCCACCACTAATATCTGCCGAGGTTACCAAAATGGCCAAAAAAACATTATATACAGACACTAATGGTAGGGCATCTTGTGAGCCCGCACGGGTAGGTGCCATCACCCTGCCTATTTCTGTCGTGAAGCATTAATGCGTTTCGGTTTTAAGAGTGAGGCAGCTGTTGTACAATAAATCTGAGACTTCGAACTGATGTCTCAAAGTAGGCAGCGGCATTTAGGTTATTGATGTCTATGGGCTCCGATAACCACTTCATGTCAAGTGGGCCATGATCGCGTCCATCGATCTAAGCAGAAAAAATATAATTTAAAAAATATAGGGTAGTTAGTGAGCATCTTTTTGTATGTTATGTGCAAAATTGCAAGAATAACGCTAGTCCCAGAGCTCTGTTGCGTTGAATTCGACACATATAATCAACACCTGGTTTGAGTGAAAATTTTCGTGATTCGAAGTTGAATTTTAAAATCAACACAATGTACGGTGGTCTCATGACTTTACCTTTAGCTACACACTAGCACGTGTTTCGGTTATGTTAAAGGTTGAAACTGGTTGAAAACGCTGGACACGTGTAGTATTAAATTAGGAAAAAATTAAACACATCAATCAATCTTTGGTCCGTAAACAGCCAGTCCATTTGTATATTAGCTAATACGTAAAATTCCCAACCAGTTAGCACAGTCGTAATCATTATGACAGATATGCCCGACGTTGCCCCGGTCAAATCATTCACTTCGACAATAAAAATACAAACATACAAATCATCAATATTAGTATAGACTTTTTAACATACCTTCGGTGTCTGTATACTCAGTTCGATGTTGTATATGTAGCATTTCGTATCCATCGAGGCGGTTACGGCGGCGATACTCGGTATATTACTCTGTAAATATCCGCAAATTTCATTACTCGTTTCTTGTTGAATGTTAGCCCGAACGTCTGTAGTTTCACAGACACATACATTGAAGATATTGAAGATCTTGATACAGAAGTTATTGAAGTGTGCGTTGCATGAAGCAAGTTTTTTGAAGTGAAACTTCTTTAGGCGCGTTAAGAGTAAAATTTAACTAGCGTCAGCTTCGTTACGACCAAAGAGAAAATATACTATTTAGAAAGAGCGAAAGTGAGAAAATAGACAGAGCGTCTCGCGAATTGCAAGATAAATTTGATTTAAGGATGAAAAAAGAAGATAATCACAATACTACACACCGCAAAAGAAGTTTCACTTCTTACGCAAAAACAAAAAAGTTCAACGTGCGTCCAGGCCACCTACACAGTGACGGTATTTAACAAAATTTTCTGTAGCTACAAGTATTCTATGAATATGTCTTATGAATAGTCAGCGATCAACAATTTTCATATGTAGTTATCTTTGTTTCCGTGGAATCACAATTTAAATTGTACGCTTCTTGAACGGGCAACTAAGTTAATCGCCAATCACTTCTAGTTGACGACAGGACAAGGTGCTTACATCACCAATGAACAGTCTAGTTAGAGTATCGTCGTACCTGATCTGGCGATGGATGCGTGACGTCAGCGCCCACGATCATCACAGCCCCACCCTTTAAGCACTGAGGAATGGAACGATTCTCCAATGCCTGATTTATTCCCATAAGCTTCGAATTCACCTAAAATATATAACACAAGTGATTTAACTAAAATAATATTAGGTATATTAGATTTTCAAATATCTTATACCTAAATATTTCAGTAAGATTACAGGTATTGTTATGTAGATACAAGTATCGCCGACTATCATGAAATAGCAGAAACGGATATCAAAACAATTAGAACAATCAAGAACGTTCGAGAAATGCAATGCCATCTATTATCAAATAGCGAAAACGGATATCGGAGCGACTAATACTAGTGGTATTACGCGCATAGTAGTATTACGCGCATTAATATCAGTCTAATATACATAAAATTCCTAAAAGGCCAAGTGCCAAAAACAGACTTCACAGAGATTAGAAAAAGAGAGATTACCAAAAGAATCCGAACGACAATCATTCTGTAATAGTGTTAGTAGAACTCGTATTAGGCGTAGTAATATTAATAGAAGCGTCAGCCGAGTATTCTTATATTTACAGAATGAGCTATTTATTTATTACCTTTAGTAAAATGTTCCGAGCTGTTTGTGGGTTCATTCGGCGCGTGGCGGTATCTTCTTTGATACACTGCGTCAGTATACCCACTTTGAGTTCGGCAATCTGTTTCAGCTGCATTCAAAGATATCATACATTAATCAAAGTCAATCTTACCTTGATAGGTTTTGAGGGGACAGCCGTTATGCGCAATTGAGACTTAGACCTCATGTCTCAGGTGGGTGACGACATTCACATCTTAATATGTGTGGACTCCGATAACCATTTAATATCAGGTCTCGTGAAGTCGTTCACCCATTTATTTAGTGGAAAAATTGATTTCAATTTATTATTACAACAATAGGACGTTTTAGAAATCTTCTGCAAGTCCAATCAGAATATCTCCGATCCCACTGTTCAACTTTAATGACATACGCCTATTATAAGAACCAAGGCCACCAAAGATGCCAAATGATCATCACATTACTGCGACAGCTTAATAACGATTCGGTTTTATTATTATTATTGCTTAGGTTAATGAACAAGCTCACGGCCCAGCAGGTGTTAAGCGGTTACCGGAGCCCATAGATATCTACAACGTAAATACCGGAACCTACCTTGAGATCTGAGTTCTAAGATCTCAGTGTTTACAGTACCACGGCTGCCCCACCCTTCAAATCGAAACGCATTACTGCTTCCCGGCAAAAATAGGTATGGTGGTGGGACCCGTGCGGACTCTCAAGACGTCCTACGATCAGGCTTACAAAATATAAATAATTTTATCTGTGATCCATTGTTGGTTTTTTTTTAATTTGCAACTCTAATAACGTAGGTACCTTGTGATAATAATCGCGGCCCCGTCCAGAAACGACCACGACCAGGAAATTGACCTGTTTTTCTAGAGCGTGCAGCATACTCTTGTGCAGGTCATTTATACGGATGTTGAAGCAAGCCATCTTTGGTTGGGTCACGTTCATGCCCATTTGTCGACCGGTATTCATTAGCTGAAACATACACAAACGCGTTACCGTTAAGAATATGAAGTCGTCGTGGCCTAAAGAATGGGTCGTCCAGTGTATTCGTATCCAGAGCAACCTCCAACAGCGTTCCGTGAGCTCGTTCAACCGCATCAATCCTTTAATGGTCTATAGCGGACTTAAAACACTATCTTAGCTCCCCCAGTTTTAACCCGACGTTTCTTTGTACTATATTAACCAATACTAAGACGAAGCAAAGAAAAGATAAAGAAGTTTTTTTATGTAATATTTTATGTAATAAAGAGTCGTCGTGGCTTAAAGGATAAGACGTCCGATGCATTCGTGTTTAGCGATGCACCGGTGTTCGAATCTCAGGCGGGTACCAATTTTTCTAATGAAAGACTTACTTAACAAATGTTCACGATTGACTTCCACGGTGAAGGAATAACATCGTGTAATAAAAATCAAACCCGCAAAATTATAATTTGCGTAATTACTGGTGGTAGGATCTCTTGTGAGTCTGCACGGGTACCACCGCCCTGCCTATTTCTGCTGTGAAGCAATAATGCGTTTCGGTTTGAAGGGTGAGGCAGCCGTTGGTCCCACCCACCTCGGATCTCATGTCTCAAGGTGGGTGGGAGCATTTATGTTGTAGATGTCTATGGGCTCCAGTAACCACTTAACTCCAGGTAGGCTGTGAGCTCGTCCACCCATCTAAGGAATAACAAAAAAATAGTCTTTTGAATACATTACTACTTTGTATAGGCTAGTAGGATTGAATAGGCTGCGTGCATCCTTTCTAAATTATTAAGTGCTAATTATATTTGGGGTGAACACAAAACAAAAACAAAATTTCTACAGTTGTAAAATAAAAAATGTTGTAAAGTAAAATAAAAATCAATTACATATTACTTTTTCTTAAGCATCTAATTTCTATCACAAATGGAACCAATATTCAAAGCTACATCTAAACAACATCTTGATTTCCGCGTATGAAAAGAAATTATTGGGCTTCGTTCTTAGCTAGACTTACGGAACACATTAATATTGTTTATGGTTGTTTACGGTTTCACATTAAACACTTTTTTTCTTTCTTTTATGTCATAATTCATAATAAACTAGCTGACCCGGCAGACTTCGTAGTACCTCAATCGATAAATAAAAGACAAAAGGAATCCGCCCGATAGGGGACACATCAAAGGACAAACAAAATTGTTATTTTTATTTAATTCCGACCATTTTCATATTTATATACCTTTTAAACCTTCTCTGGACTTCCACAAATAATTTAAGACCAAAAATAGCCAAATCGGTCCAGCTGTTCTCGAGTTTTAGCGAGACTAACGAACAGCAATTCATTTTTATATATATAGATAAGATAAAAACCTTCGACACGATGTCTTCATAATTACATCCACGTGGATCCAATTCTATGGCAATGAAGCCCCATGAATTCAGAGCTTCCGGTTTCAGAAGACAGTTGGCCTGCCATACTCCCTTCCTATAATTTAACCAACGCATTCGCATAACATTTCCTTGAAATGTTTGCTTACACTATTTTAATTGAGGCCGTCAGCGCAAAAGTGGCCTAACCCACAATTTTTCATAATGTTTATAATTATGTATATTGCAATTTATTTAAAATATAATAAATTTTGATGCAAAACCAGCCTATCCATAGTTTTACCCATTTTGTCAAACATGTAAACATTATTTTTGCGCGTATTGTTTTTTTGCCTACTCAAATTCAAATTCATGAAAACTTAAACCTCATTGCTCCATAATAACTATGGTAAGCTTAGGCCACTTTTGCGCTGACGGCCTCAACAACTCATATTCAAATAGAATTTCTGTACAGTGTAAAAACTTTAAACGTCACTTCAGTATATCGATACGCATATAATACTGTAAGTGTAGGGTTCTGGACCTTATACGAAACACATAGAGAAGATCTACGGAGTCGATGAACCGGCAATCCGAAATTTATTATTCGGAATTTGTATCGATTTTTTTGGAAAATATCTGTTCTGTGATAGCTACCCCTAGACGGCCTAGACGGATGACCAATAATCTCACAATCAATCAGCAACAAATATTCGAATGAAAATGTTGAATCACAGAGTCGCGTTTATATTAACCAATTAAGATATATATTTTTTTGCTTATTTATTTCTAGTAACCTCAAGGGGTTATGCTAGCTTTATCAGGGACTCTGCCTGGGAGACTATATTAACATTTGCCCTAACAATAGCAGTGCTTCGCTGAATCTACCACAGGATCGGAATCGCTATGATTATATACATACTTCACTTACTTTGGTACAGTAAATTGCCGTGGACCCACTTCTAATGTGGGCGCTTCGAGAATTTTCGCTTCAACTTGATAAAACTCATTGGCTATCTCCAAGCCGTATGTTTTGAAGAATTGATTCTTCGAGTAATTCATCTGAACAACAAACATTTATGTTACACAACGTTAGACACAGAGGTGGCAGTAAAATATTTTTCATGTATAGAATTGAGTTAGTAGTTAAGCGAATATTCACAAGGTTAAAAGTCAGTCTGTATAAATTTTATATCGGGTAGTCCTGCTTGAGTTTCACTTTGCTATCAGTTACGTCCTTCGATCGTTTACTTACATAACTAAATTATTGAAAGATATCAATACCTTTTGAATCACTTCCTCGATCTTACGTTTCCGTACATCAGGTGGAGTTGCAGCCTCTCTCACCATTGTCGACAATTGTCTGTCATTTAATTGCTTGTTACGGGCCTAGAATGACAATTTTCTTTATTTAATTATTTAAATAAATTGTTTATCGATAAATTTTAAGAACTTAGTAGTCGATATTCTTTACCAAAATTAATGTATCGAAATAAATACCTGGCCATATGCAACTTCGACTAGTTCCATCGGTAGATATATGTTCTTGTCTTTCGGGCCGACCCACAAACAGTTCAGGTCCGGATACTTAATCCTGAACACGTCAAAGGATTAAGTTCATGTCTAAAGCAAACAACCTATTTTACTAGAAGTGGTTACAATATTCGTATTTTTTCTAAAAACTTATACACAACATTTTGGTTTGAATAGCAGGATTGCCAATAGACAATAATTGGGACTTCGACGTTATATTTCGGGAATGTCAGTGGCTCTGGGCTCGTGTTGGCCATGGACGGCAGTATTACACAAGACGGGTCGATAACTATGTTAATTACAAAAGTGGAAGGTACGTGGCGAGAATTATGTATGGAAACGTTCTGTAGATCAAGTATTTTCCATGAAATACTAGCAGGGGATTCATGTTACAGTCACGCATTCACATTAACATTATAATAATATGTCGAGCCGAGTAATACTATCAAATCACTATTAATCAATAATAATTGACCAGACACGAAATATTGATAACAATGTGATTTATATTACAAGTTACCACACTGTGCCAGGTGCACCTTGGAAATTCCTCCACATCAAAAAATTTAGAACAAACATGATTTTTTTATTTATTGTTTAGATGGGTGGACGAGCTCACAGCCACACAGGTTTCAAGTGGTTACTGGAGCCCATAGACATCTTCAACGTAAATGCACCACCCACCAGAAATATAAGTTCTAAGGTCTCAGTATAGTTACAATGGCTGCCCCGCCCTTCAAACCGAAACGAATTACTGCTTCACGGTAGAAATAGGCAGGGTGGTGGTACCTACCCGTGCGGACCCACAAGATGTCCTACCACCAGTAATACCTACTCTTAAATATGACTATATTTATATATAACGTTACCTGTATTTTTTCTCTTTCATAAAATATTCGTATACGGTCATCCTAACCGGCGGTCCTTTGTCGTTCTCCAACGTAAATGTTTGACGCGACGGTGGGTCGACAACCCCGTTGCATATGTGCTCGCGTAATTGTCCCGAAGAAGGTCCGGTACCAAGTATCTTCGATACGACCTGCGAAACAACGTTAACTAAAGCCAATGTCTACTGTAGGCCGAAAAATAACAATTTTAATAAAAAAATAAAAAAAGAGTTATAATATTAGGAAGTAAATTTATCATAAATTTATCATACACAGCATATTCGTCAAAAATCACCTTAAGCCCTCTAATGAATTCATTGAAAGCTTCAACAGCACGGCCTGGTTGCCGATCCATTGGACGATTGGGGTCCAAACGAAAATCACGCGTGAAAGCATCAATCATAGGTTGATTCTTTGGGAAACCTTTGTGTGCAACTAAAAACACATAAACATGTAAAATATACTACAACAAATATGTGTAATTGTGAATGAATATGGATTTACCCCTGTTCAGGTTGAGGTCCATGGGCGACGGTAACTATTCACCATCAGGTGGACCGTACGCTAGTCTTGCAACAAGGGCAATTAAAAAAGTTTTAGTGCAATTTTAAATGATGTCGGAATACAATAATATAATGGGCCTCGTATCAAGTTTTCCATATCTGTCAAATATCATACTTAACCCAATGCTTCCAGGCTTACTTTGCAATATTACGATTTAGTGGAGCATTTTGATAAAAAATCCTTTAGTTTTTGAATCAAAGAAATTTATAACCTTTAGGTTTATTAAAAAAAGTTAATATATAACATAGTGGGATAAGGTGGAGAAAAAGAAGAAGTAGGTTTATTAAAAAAATATATTTATTACCATCAACGTTGATGAAGGCTTTCGATGTAAATATAGCAGATTGGAATAAACCAGTCCACATCTCGAGCCCGTCGCCCAAGTCAATCGGAGATGCAGGACGCATGAAGTATTGTCTGCCTGCCTGTTTTCATACATTTAAAACACATTACAGAACCTGTTAAAAATTATAAAAATATTGATCAGGGATCTATACTAATATTATAAAGAGAGATTTGTTTGTTTGTTTCGAATAGGCTCCGAAACTACTGGACCGATTTGAAAAATTCTTTTTCCATTAGAAGCCGACATTGTCCCTGATGAACATAGGATACTTTTTTTAATTATTTTTTTTTCTAATTTTTTGGTTTCATGTGTGTTTTAATGTTTCCGAAGCGAAGCGAGGGCGGGTCGCTAGTCTAAAATATGACTTTGACCTAACCAAAACTAAAGTGGAATTTATCTTCTAAATATGAATTATATTAAAAACTCTTACTTTCACATATGATTCCAATGTTCCTTGTTTTAACACTATGTCAATACATTGTATGGTGTCAGTTGGTGCATTAAGGGATGATCCACCCGTTGCCATATGCCTGTAATAAAATTTGGTCCAGATAAAACTATTCTAAGGTAGGACTATTAAAAAATGCGATAGATTTTTATTTTCCCTCGCAAGCATGTCTAATCTACCAATTGATCACTGTGGCTCAGTGCAAGCTAATCTATTACCAAGCCATTTAACTATAATTACAGTTCATGTGATTAATGGAATTAATGATTTATTTGCCAATATACTTACTTCAGAACATTATTGTAGTCTACTATACCACTAGCTTTGAATGACACTTCAAACGGCATGTCTTTGCCGTTCATATCTTTGATCACCACCTGAAAATAAAATAAGGATTATAATATGTGTAGGACGTAATGTGTACCTAGGTAATTTATAAAATGCGCCATTAACTTATATAGAGTTTACAAGAACAGTTTATGAATTTATGTACCTAAAAACTTTTATTGCTTAGATGGGTGGATGAGCTCACAGCTCTCCTGGGGTTAAGTGGTTACTGAACCCCATAGACATTTACAACGTAAATGCGCCACCCACCTTGAGATATGAGTTCTAAGGTCTCAGTATAGTTACAACGGCTGCCAAACCCCTTAAACCGAAACGCATTACTGCTTCACAGCTGAAATAGGCAGGGTGGTGGTACCTACCCGTGCGGAATCACAAGAGGTCCTACCCCTCTGATAATACTAATGAGAAACTCAAATATTCAAGAACCTTTTAAAAACCAGGAATGTTTTCAACATACTTACTTTTACACCATATCTCTCAGTGGTGATTTTTGGCAGCGGCGTCAGTGAATAACAATTTTTTGTTTGATCAAAGGCAAGGATTTCTTTAGGAAATTCTTTAGACTTTACCAGTTTAAACACTTGTGCAATAAATTTCTTCGGTTTATCTGGTTTGAATGTGACGTCGTAACGGTACTGAAAAATATTTTCTTTATGTTAAAAGGTATTCAATTGTTTTATAGTTACTCAATCTACAGAACTTTCATACTTACAATTTTCAATGGTTTTGTTATTTTCATAGCCAAATAATTAGTTAAAATCGGCACAGTTCTTGAGGGTGGGGACAATATTTTATCTGGTATCTTGTACAAAACAGGAGCTGCAGGGGCAGCTTTGACCTCTGGTTTATTTTGTACATATTGAATAGGCTGTGATGCAGTTGATGTTATTGGTTTACTTTGTGATGGTCCTGGAATTGCAGGTTCACTTGATGGAGCTTTTGAATATTTGATGTCTGTTTCTACAGCTGTAAATTTAGGTTTCCTGCTGCGAGTTTTTTTTCGTCCCCCACCACCTAACCCCAAACCCAAACCATCATCATCATCTTGAGGCTTATCAGCAGCAGATTCTGGTTTAGAACCTCTAGTTTCGATTTTGGACTCTTCACTTTTAGGAGCTTCAGATTTACAAGCCTCAGGGATAGGAGCCTCAGGTTTAAGAGCCTCGGTTTTAGGAGCCTCTGTTTTAGGAACCTCAGCTTTCGAATTATCAGTTTGAGTAAGCTTTGGGTTTGACAATTCAGCTTGAGCTGATTCTTGTTTTTCAGTTGGCTTCTTCCTGGGCCGTCTTTTTCTAGATTCACCAAGACCAAGGCCCCCTAAATCATCTTCAATAGTAGTTGTTGGTTCTGTAGTTGGAATTTGGGATGTTGAAGGTTGACTTTCTGAAGGCTGACTTTCAGAAGAAGGGGTTTTTGTAGAATCAGGTGCCTCTTTCTTACCACCTTTGTTTTTTCCTAAAAGTTTGTCAATGAAATTAATTCATACATCGCAAATAACTTAACAAGAATGGATGTTTCATTATCATAAACATATGCCCTTTTTTTATTCCATTCATATAATTACAGCAATAACCGCTAGGCAAGACATTTTAAATATCACATCCTGAAATGAGGTTGAGGCAAAAGAGATTGACAATGAGATTTTGTTTGATTTTAATATTTTTTTGAATGCCCTGAATGAACATTTTCTTCATAGCCCTGTAATTAAGTTATCACTTGATATACTTTTTATGTAATTAATGGTGACCAAGTTTTCCCAGCTTTCCATTAATAGCAATAAGATATGAGTGGCTATAAAATTTAACTTACCTCTAGCCATGATTACAAAGTTGTAATGATCTGTGAACAAAATGGACCACTATAAATTTTGATAATATGTAATAATAATGTAATAATAGTGCAAAGCCACTATAATGAAAACATCAAGGCCAGTAATCAACAGAAATGAGAGCTTAAATATTTCTTGTTCTCATATGTTCAATAAAGATTAGTTAAATATTTTTTATGGCTACCTGCAAAGTAAGCAATGTTCTAATCATCCAACTGTTGTTTCAAGACTATTGTTGGTATATAATTTGTATCACACTCAAGCTACAAACACATTTGTGTAAAAATCCAACAGATAGGTACCAACTTTTTTTAAGATACACCTAAGAAATTGACAGCTTTTACTATGAAGTAGGAGTAACTAAGTTATAGGTAAATTCAGAGTTGAAATAGTGACAATGTCCAATCATACAGTAATCATATTATATAAATAATAGTAATTAGTTTGAAAAATAAATTTAGAAAAAAATAACATCAATACGTTAATCTCCAACAAGTTTCCCATTGACAGTTGCACAACTGCATTTATTATTGCATCAACTCTATGCAGTATGGAACGTAATGCTGCGAAAAACAGTTTTAGGAATTTTAGCTTCGGGGAAGGGACGGGAGAAGAACTACAGAGAACTAACGTATAAAACTTTAAATAAATAAAGTACAAGAACCTTTTATCGCGTTTAAGTACTTTATTGTACAATAATATAGGGACCATGAAAAGCATAGCGCACATTAAATTACTAGATTCGTTGATTTGGTAGGTCTTCTTAAATTATAATTAAAAAGTAAGATTACAATACCTCTTCGTACAAATCTTTAAGAAGGTGTGCAATTGTGTACTTCAGCAATAAAGCTATCGCGAAATTTAATTGATCGAATATGTTATTGTGAATGAGTAGGTACTAGGTATATAAGGATCTACATAAAAACACACACACAATCACACAACGATTGCAACAGCACTGAGAAATTAATAGGGATGACAGAAAATTCTCTATGCATCTTTTTTTTTTTTTTCCTAACTAAGCTGGTAGCCTGGAGCGGCTATTTCAGCGTAACCGTGGCTAGTAGGTGAGCTGACGGGGCTCAAACCTGACGACGATGCTAACAGGAACCCTAGCAAGAGCCGTGCTTCGCAGAATCTACCACCGGATCGGAAACGCGACCCACTGAGAAGATCCGGCGAGAAACTCAGTGGGCTGTGTCTGAGAGTTAATTTACTCGTCGAGCCCTTCGTTGCAAGCGACGGGTTCGACGAGAACGGTGACCGGTGCTTGAAGTACCTAAAAGCACCGTTAGTGGATCGGGAGGATCCGAGATGACGTGTTTTGGGCGACGTCGACTGCTTTCCATTCTGTCCGCAGGATCGGGAATGTAGTTACCGGCGGCCACGATGAGAGGGTTCTCGTGTCGTGCCGCTTTATCGAAGTGGCGCATGGACGCCGACTGCAGATACTTACTGATGGACTCTAAGTCCAGGTCGTCATGGAGGTCGACATTCCTGACGAACCACGGGGCTCCGACGGCTATCCTGCAAAAACGGGATTGAATGACTTGGAATGATTTTAAGAGTATGCGGGCCGCGTGAGCGAACACTACACTTGCATAGGTCATGACGGGGCGTATGCAAGATTTGTAGAGTGTCACCTTATTTCTAAGGGACATTTTACTTCGCCTACATATCATCGGGTAGAAACCTTCCCAATAACTGTTTAAATGCTTGTACTGATGTTCCTAACGCTAAGGTTACAACTTTTATTTTTGATTTGAATCGGATGTAGTCGATTTGAAGACGAAAATAGCATCAGTAAAGTATGCGTGGGGTGTTAATTGAAAAATTGCTTTCAAGACGTACCTACCAGTATTCATACCGTAAACGTAATGTTCTTGATCAATCATAGCATGTCAGTACTCAAAGTTGTGCGTATAAAGTATTATAAAATGAAAACTTTCATTCCTCTAACGGCATGTCTATTAATTTATTTTGAAAAATTGCTGACGCATACTTAAATAGCATATTCACTATCTGAAACGTGGTTGGTCAATTCAATTGAGGGTTTAAATTCGTATTATTTCTTGGGACTGAAATGGCGGAAGATAACTTCAAATCGGACGTGGCAGATGTGAGATTTTCCCTCCAACGTTTTACCTATGTAGATTACGCTGTGTTTATTATGATGTTGACAATTTGTGGCTTAATTGGAATATATTTTGGATTCGTGAATAAACAGAAATCAACCCAGGATTACCTTATGGGTGGAAGAAACATGAAATTGGTGCCTGTTTGTTTTTCTTTAGTTGCAAGGTAAATATTAAACTATTCATTAATATAAGTTAAATATATAAATGGATAACTGTGAATAAAACACATACGGTGAGCTAACCCAAACTTCAATAAGACAACATGTACATTTTTTCGTATACATTACGGGGCCATCAAAGATCGTAGATATCAAATTTTAATGTCAATAACCAATATGTCAAATGAGACTTAAATTACAAGTCAGAGATAGTTATAATGGTAGTATCCGAGCGGTTCTACAATACGTTTTTTTTTATTGCTTAGTTAGTTAGATGAGCTCACAGTCCACCTGGTGGTAAGTGGTTACCGGAGCCCATAGAGATCTATAGCGTAAATGCCGCCACCCACTTTGAGACATGAGTTCAAAGGTCTCACCTTTAACAGTACAACGGCTGCCCCGCCCTTCAAACTGAAACGCATCACTGCTTCGCGGCAGAAATAGGTAGGGTGGTGTTACCCACCCTTACGGATTCACAAGGCGTCCTACCACCAGTAAAAGTAAAGTAAACCGTACTCTTTGTTTTTTTTTTCAAAATTCAAATTCCTTCTTGAAAATAAAGTGGGTTACATAATTATAAGCATTGTTGGAAATTTTAGACCATCATGCATTTCGGTCTGATTCCGTGATGGCCGTTGTACTGTTCAGTTTTCGGCTTTTTGTCTTATTATAGCGGCAATAACATTGTAATGTGGTATTTGGTAACATTATAATACAAGGCGAAGTCGTCGTGGCTCAAAGGATAAGACGTCCGGTGCATTCCTATCTAACGATGCACCGGTGTTCGAATCCTGCAGGCGGATACCAATTTTTCTAATAAAATACGTACTTAACAAATGTTCACGATTGACTTCCACGGTGAAGGAATAACATCGTGTAATAAAAATCAAACCCGCAAAATTATAATTTGCGTTATTACTGGTGGTAGGTAATGCGTTTCGGTTTGAACGGTGGGGCAGCCGTTGTAACTATACTGAGACCTTAGAACTTATATCTCAAAGTGGGTGGCGCATTTACGTTGTATATGTCTATGGGCTCTAGTAACCCCTTAACACCAGGTGGGCTGTGAGCTCGTCCATCCATATAAGCAATAATAAAAAAAAGAACTCTATCCATTTTCAGTAATCCATTAAAATAATTAACTTACTGGCGCTTCATTATTTAATTTCTTTTTTAGTTTCATTTCAGGTATATCTCTGCTCGGAACGCCCACAGAACTATATCTGTTCGGGACGGCTTATGTGTTCTCACTGTTCGGCGCCGTAGCAATGTCTCTTACATTAGGATCAACATTTCTACCGGTTTTTCATGAGCTCCAAATAACTTCAGTTTACGAAGTGAGTTTTCGACAGACACATTTTTTTTTATTGCCTTTGTAGGCAGACGGGCATACAGCCCACCTGATGGTGAGTGGTTACCGTCGCCCATGGACTTCAGCAATGCCAAGGGCAGAGCCAAGCCGCTGCCTACCGCTAAAGTACAATTAAAGAAACATGTTTTTATTATAAATCAAGTAAAGATTAAGATTCCCGGTTACCTACTCGTGAATGCTAAATATCAATGATATAAGATTATATTACTTTCAGTATTTGGAGCTGCGCTACGATAAACGAGTCAGGATATTTGGTTCAGCTATATTCAGTATATATTTGGTAAGTTTTTACTGGTAATAGGACCTTTTGTGAGTCCGCTCGGGTAGGTAACACCACCCTGCCTATTTCTGCCGTTAAGCAGTAATGCGTTTCGGTTTGAATGGTCGGGCAGCCGTTGTAACCATACTTGAGACCTCAGAACTTATATCTCAAGGTAGGTTGCGCATTTACGCCGTAGATGTCTATGGGCTCCAGTAACCACTTAATACCAGGTGGGCTGTGAGCTCGTGCATCTATGCAATAAATAAATAAATCCGTTCATGTACGTCTTAGATCTTGAATCAATGTCATGGGCTGGCTATAAGACTATCAAATTCCTTCTTGATGATGACTTGATGCGTCTCACGATGTCCCGCCATCTCTCCCTGCTCGAGGCCATTCTACTGCACTTAATATTTAGGGGACAAATAGATCCGTTCAAAATTAGTTTAGTTAATCGTTTAGGTTTTCACAAATCGATAATAATAATGTGTAATGTAATCTCCTTTTAATTTTATTGATTTCTTCATACAAAATCGAATCGACGTAATAATGGAAAATATAATTGTTACATATTATTAGTAATACAGACTACAGCTTCCGTTCCGGTAGACTAAGGGGATATTATTTTTCAAATCACAGTCTTACTTAGTCTAGTAATTACAGGGAATAATTTTTGTAATTCTTTTTTCTGCACAATTTTTAAATAGAAGTAAGTGACCAGAAAACAAAGATGAGTTATTCTTTCTTGTCAAATAGAACAAATTTTTACACAAATTTTTTTGTAGATGGCTTGGCTGCCTATAGTGATCTATGTTCCGGCTTTAGCATTCAATCAAGGTACGAGACAACGTAGAAATAAGTAATAATTTAATTTTATTAATAATAGATTATGTAACTCAGAAGATCGTATAGGATAATGGATAGTCAACTACTTTGTCCACATCGGACAAAGATTCGTCTCATGTCTTGGCTCTTTGTGTGGGTGTTATCTATATATTCATACATTTCAATAGTATGACTATTAGTCTCTGGAGTCTATAGTACAATGTGCTTAGTGCGAGTTTTTAACGTTATTGATAGCGGAAAAGTTAACTCAAATTTAAATGCAGTTGGAACGTTTGCCGCTTGGGGCGCTGTTCTTACATAATCCTATTTTGGGGCTCGGGTGTTTCCCGAGCGCTATGACATGTCCTTCTTCAAACGAGGCTTGTGGAGAGTATTAAGCGGTAGGCATCGGCTTGGCTCTGCCCCCGGCATTGCTGAAGTCCATGGGCGACGGTAACCACTCACCATCAGGTGGGCCGTATGCTCGTTTGCCTACAAGGACAATAAAAAAAAAAATATTAAAATTGTTATTAATTGTTAATTAAAAGAGTTTACTTACTTATCGAAGAACTTATCATTTGCCCCGAACTTATCATTCGGGTGTTTCCCAAGCACTATGACATGTCCTTCTTCAAACGAGGCTTGTGGAGAGTATTGAGCAGTAGGCATCGGCTTGGCTCTGCCCCCGGCATTGCTGAAGTCCACGGGCGACGGTAACCACTCACCATCAGGTGGGCCGTATGCTCGTTTGCCTACAAGGGCAATAAAATAAATAAATATTAAAATTGTTATTAATTGTTAATTAAAAGAGTTTACTTACTTATCGAAGAACTTATCATTTGCCCCGAACTTATCATTCGGGTGTTTCCCGAGCGCTATGACATGTCCTTCTTCAAACGAGGCTTGTGGAGAGTATTGAGCAGTAGGCAGCGGCTTGGCTCTGCCCCCGGCATTGCTGAAGTCCATGGGCGACGGTAACCACTCACCATCAGGTGGGCCGTATGCTCGTTTGCCTACAAGGCAATAAAAAAAAAAAATATTAAAATTGTTATTAATTGTTAATTAAAAGAGTTTACTTACTTATCGAAGAACTTATCATTTGCCTTAAGTAGTATCGAGTAATTGGAGCAATGAAGCGGGTATACACGATTTTCGACTTCTGTCGGGAGCCTTTTGGTACAGCCCATTATTTTTGCTTGGCAACATCCCTCGCATTGCCGTCACAGTGAACAATAAAATAGAAGAAAATAACGTCATGCGATATCACTGATAGCATTTCCATCTTACGTTAAAGTTGTCGAACGATCCAGCTAGAAAGGCAGAGAGAGCCTTGATTCTAATGTGATTGGAATTTCGACTTTATATCTTGTATTTTAAGGAGACCTCATTCACGTTTGGCATCACTTCTTTGGCTTGTTCCTTAAATGACCTAATATTTTTTTGCAGTGACCGGATTTAACATACACATTATTTCACCGATTATTTGTTCTGTTTGCATTTTCTATACTTCCTTGGTGAGTGACTTAAAATAACCGAAGATTTACCTTTCTTTAACATTTGATGACACGACCTATTTTGGCGCAAGAATTCCTTTGTAATATTGTTATATTCAACAAGTATGCTATGATGATACCTGAAGTTGAGAAATATTAAGTTTCAATCCAGGAAGCAAACTAACTTTCTATCCGTTAGTTTACTTACAAAATTTTATTGATTAAAAAAATTTTTGCTCGATCAAAATGATAATTGTAAGTGAGTTTAAAATGAAAGTTCATTTTATTTTAGGGAGGACTCAAAGCGGTTGTATGGACGGATGTGCTTCAAACCATTGTAATGGTATCAGCTATGATTTTAGTTATATTCAAAAGTACAATAATTGTGGGAGGTATCAACGAAGTTTTGAGACGAAACTGGAGTACCGATAGACTCGCGTTTCCATCGTACGTACAGATTATTGCGTTTGAAAGTTCAGTGGCAAGCGTGCAAATCTTTCAATTATTCCGAGTATTTTAAGGTGCATGAGCAGCGCTTGAGTTAAAATTCTTTTGCCTGTATTTGCATAATCTTGAATGGTAAATCAATTCTCAACTAATAGATTATATGTATTTATGTATTTAAATTCATTTAAAAAAAAACATAAGAATTACATTGATAAAAAATATTTTGTGTTTTCAAAATCTGATTCATCGGCTAACTTCGTCATTTCGTGAATTATTATTGATTTATCTTTTAAAATTATTCTATTTTAGTTTGACTTTTGATTTAACGGAAAGACACTCAATCTGGTCTGTGTCTATTGGTGCTACATTCTATTGGATTGGGAATATTGCTGTCAATCAATCTATGATGCAGAGGTTCCTCGCTCTCTCAGAGCTAAAGTCTGCTAAACGGTAGGCTACGTTTTATATATAAGTTTTTCTGTATATTATTTATCTTTCATCATAATTTCTGTGTTTCACGTTATGTTATAGTATTGTATATGTTATATACAATGAAGACTAAAACATCTAAATACATATATATATCCCTACATAAGAGTGCCTCAGTGCTCACTCTAACCGGCGCCATCTAGGCGGGCTCCGGATAGCCTGCCGACCGAGAGGGCTGGTGGTCGTGGCGCCGACGACCGCCAGTCCGGCGTCCCGAGGGGGAGGGTGATGGGAGAGATGTGCTCCGCACTAAACACTTCACTTTTCCCCCTTTGCCTTTTCATGAGTTCTGTCTCATGTGAGGTTTGGACGTTGGTTGTTGAGCGACAGGAGGTTTTAGTCGGTTCGACTCCGACATGCTCCGCCCGCCGTCCCCAGTGGAGGGCGGAAGTCCGGCGATTTCCTCCTGACCAAAAAAAAAAAAAAAACGTATAAACTAATCATTTAAATTAATTACATTCGTAATCTACACCGAAACTTATATTATATTCTAGGGCAATTTGGGGTTTTCTTTTTGGAGTCTTCGTAATAGTTTTTATATGTGGATACAGTGGATTGGTTGCATATGCTAAGTACTATGAGTGCGATCCATTGGATTCTAAATTGGCTCTGGCTAAGGACCAGTTACTGCCGTTGTTGGTGATGGATGTATTTGCCGATTGGGAAGGAATGCCCGGAATTTTTATTGCGGGAGTATTCAGCGCTGCTTTAAGGTATGCCCGAAGGAACCTATTAAGTTTTAATAAAAATATTGAAGAAATCAAAACCCAATTAATGCATTGACAGTAAATTGTTCAGAGTTTTTCACTGAGAACTTCTTACTTTAATATTTATTTGGTGAAAAATAAGCAAGCTTGTTTTTTCTTGACCTCATCTATGTTTTACACCAAGGAAATCACTTGCATTGAAAGAGAGTAATTTCTTTTCAACCTTCCTTTCCAAGAACTATTTCTCTTTGTTAATTATGTAACCTTAGATAATCTTATTACAAAATTATATAGAATATATTGTATTCTAAGACTTAAGCACTAAAACAGAATATACTTTTATTAGTTTTAACATTTTTGTAGTTCGTTATCAACTGGTCTTAATTCTATGGCTGCGGTAGTTTTAGAAGATTTCTGGAAGCCTTTCTGTAAAGTACCGACACCCAAACAATCTCAAATTATTGTTCGTTTAGTCGTCATAATTCTCGGCTGTATTTGTTTTGGTAAGTTTACGAAAGTAAAACATTAATTTTTTTATCTTTCTGAGAACTGAATGAAACCTAAGTAAAATCTTAATACAGCAAAAGGAGGAAAATCCGTTTTAACATTTTGAGTTTCATAAATTTAGTTTTTTAAATTTAATTCCCAACATAATCTTTAACTACTATCCAAATCCAAATTCAAACATTTTCATTTTTTTTTCCGACTTGTATATTTCCTTAAGACTATCTAATCTACTATTTTTGGTTTTATCTCGCGTTTTTTTTTTCTTCATTCTATTACATTTCGAACACTTCACTTTTCGTGATCACGGGTTATTCTCGGTCCTGTATTTGATAGTCGTAAATATTATCCAAAATAATTAACCACAGATATTTTATTTCTTAGACATTTATACCTGTTCTTTTGGCTAAGCATAGCATTTCTACCAACAATTTAAAGTAAAAAAATCATACGTCCAAGACAAAACGGCGTAGCAAACTTAAGGGACATCGTTTATTTATTACTTATATTATCGGAGTGTTAAAACATTTTACTAGCTGGACCTGTATCTAAATTAAAGACATCCAATTAACTTGAATACTTGCACACAGATCGAGGACAATACGAGTAACTATAACAAATTTATAATCTTGGTTGAATGTCCTGACCAGAATAGCCACGATAAAAATTAAGATTAAGTTAATAGTACGGCTATGAAAGCATTCTTTTAGTTGTTTATTTTTTCTCCTTATTCTACTGATTCCGTATATGTTACAATTTTTTAAAAGTTATATTACTTTTTTCTAGGTTTAGTGTTCGTAGTTGAAAAACTAGGCTCAGTACTACAATTAACGATGAGTTTATCTTCAGCTTCAATGGGACCTCTTGCAGGAGTGTTTCTGATGGGACTGTTCTTTCCGTTCATAGATTCAACTGTAAGTTTACACGATCCTATGTGATCCTTATCTGATATCAATAGAACAAAGCTATGTCCAACTGTCGATACAAGAGCCTGCAGACAACTTGATGCTTCATTTCGCATTGGTTTCGATTAAGACATCTTTGCGTTGGGTGAGAATTTGCATTGTGTCATCTTTAGAATAGTCTCTATCTATTTAAATACAGGAGGACAAAGTCGTCATTGATTTGTAGTAATAAGAAAAGTTAAATGATTTTTGATTTTCCACACATTAGATTTTCCCATGTTATGTAACAATAATGCGATAAAATTGAATGTTTATGTTAAATTAGATCATCTATTAGATTAGAACGTCTTTTAATATGTCTATTTTGACTGGCATTTATTATTTTTGTGTACCAGCCATATTACCTTAGTTTACAGTCCCGGGCATTTTTTAAACAATATATGTATATGATATCTAATGATTTGAGCAAAAACAAATAAGACAATACTGTGTTCCGAACAACTTTAACAACCATATACAGTACTTGACGGTAAGTTTTGCACATCGACCTTTGAAAGAGACAACCGAGTAAATTCGGTTTCATAGAGCGTTGTCTCTGTCGCAAATACCTTTAAGATGTTTGTAATTTGTTGTTCAGGTGCGGTGGTATGTCGGACTGTTAGTGTTTCGTACGACAGAGATAACACTCTATGAAGCCCAAGCTACCCGATTGTCTCTTTCCAAGGGGCGAAGTGCAATATTTACCGTCGGGTACTGTAATTGTTAAATCTGTTCGAAGCACAGTATGGTCTTATTTGTTTTTATTATAATAGTATTTTCTTATTAGATATTTTGTTAAAACGGTTGTTAAGCCTGTTCGGAACACAGTATTGTCTTTTTTTTTTTCTCAAAGCATTATATTATATTAGTTATTTTGTTATAAAAAATGCTCTAAATGTTTTATCTTTGATTTTTTCCGATATGACAGGTAACATTACCTCTTTTCCACCGAACAACGTATTCCGACTTTAGTCAACGTGTTTTTTTTTTGTATTCTAGGATGCACTGTGTGGTGGGATAATTGGTTTGCTATCTGCTTGGTGGGTAACAGCACAGTCTCAATTTGCGATTGCAAAAGGTCTAATGAAATATAATGAAAAGATCAGATTCACTAATAACTGTAGTTACACTTTTAAATCAGCAGTCATTCATGCTACAGAGAGCAGGTCAGTTTCTTTTAACATACAGGCACACCAATCGCATGAATTCTTTTTAAGTTCTTACCTGACTATTGAGCACCATCAGATATGAAGCCGAATCTCAGTCGTGTTCTATAATCGACTTATGTCCCATCCATCAAAGCGAAAGGCCTGATTGCACTCGGCATACATATACAAGTTTTTTTTTATTGCCATTGTAGGCAAACGAGCATACGGCCCACCTGATAGTGAGTGGTTACCGTCGCCCATGGACTTCAGCAATGCCAGGGGCAGAGCCAAGCCGCTGCCTACCGTATAGAAAGAGCGGTGGTTACTATCTGTGCGGACTCACTATCGCCGTACAAACAGCAAACGTACATAATTACGATAATGTGTTTCTTTTTGAAGTCGTCGTGGCCTAAGGGATAAGACGTCCGGTGCATTTGTATCGAGCGATGCAACGGTGTTCGAATCCCGCAGTCGGGTACCAATTTTTCTAATGAAATACGTACTCAACAAATGTTCACGATTGACTTCCACGGTGAACGAATAACGTCGTGTAAGCGTAAAAGTTAACTCAAATTTGTATGGAGTTATAACGTTTGCCTACGTTTGCCGCTAGGGCAATGCTGTTCCAACGGCATACAGCTTTGAGTTAACTTTTACGCTATCGAGAACGTTAAAAACTCGCACTAAGCACACTGGTGTACTCGTATCGAACGACGCGATTGTGTCTGTCTTCAAATCCCATAGGCAGATCCTATCTTTTCTGATGAAATACGTATATAACTAATGTATACAAACGAGCTCTAAGATGAAGGGTAGTAATCGTGTAATCACACCCGCAAAATGAATAATTTACGTGCTTTATATATATTTGGAATATAAACCACACCCCTCAGGGTGAGCGGTGGTGTCTGGTCGTAAGCCTCTATGGGTTCTTATCACCATGCTATAAAATAAATCTACACCAGTAAATGTCGCGACAAGACTTAATCACTACATAGTATAAAACAAAGTCGCTTTCTCTTTCCCTATATCCCTTAGTATACTTAAATCTTTAAAACTACGCAACGGATTTTGATACGGTTTTTTTTAATAGATAGAGTGATTGAAGAGGAATGTTTANGGTCGTAAGCCTCTATGGGTTCTTATCACCATGCTATAAAATAAATCTACACCAGTAAATGTCGCGACAAGACTTAATCACTACATAGTATAAAACAAAGTCGCTTTCTCTTTCCCTATATCCCTTAGTATACTTAAATCTTTAAAACTACGCAACGGATTTTGATACGGTTTTTTTTAATAGATAGAGTGATTGAAGAGGAATGTTTAAATATATAATAACATCCATTAAATAGTGGAGAAATACTGTTATTTTTGAGGTTTCTAATGTGATGTCGTAAATAATCATGAATAAAATTTCATGTTTCCGAAGCGAAGCGAGGGCGGTTCGCTAGTAGGTCTTTTATAAGTTGTTTAATGTAATAGATTGATGCGTTTAATTCTAGCGAGGTGCCAGCTTTGTACCGTATTTCATATTTATGGTTCACTGCGCTGGGTTGTATTGTGACCGTAACGATATCATGTTTAGTTTCGTTAAGGACTTCGAATAAAGTAAAACGTGACATAAGAACATTTGCTCCTGCTATTAGGAAGTACTTAAACAAACGGGTGAGTGTTTTATTTTTCATTTGTTTTAATTGAATGGAGTTCTTTTGTTTTTGTGTTCCACTATTGTTTTTTTGTTTTTCTCTAAAATTGCTGCAGTCACTATCGTCGCCCATATATGTATACATGTATATGTGGTGAAGATTCATTAAAAATTGATTCGCTCCGTAATAAATAATGAACCTTCGGAATTTAGTTTTTATCTATCTCGTTGGGCGAATGAGGTTTGGGTCCATCTAATATTATGTGTGTACTTGAACCTATCACAACGTAAATCAATCTTGGGACACTCACCATGAGACATGAGGTCGAAACCTCGAATTCAGAACAGAAACAGAAAGTAAGAGTCGACATAAATTTATAGATAAATTTACGAAAAATCACGTTCCGTTGATTGTATTCGTTAAAACAAATCTAATGACTCCAAACCCGGACGAGTCATGACTATTCAAGATATTCTTGTGTAAAATCATTATATTGTCATTACAAGTATACTACTATATTAGAAGAACATTATATTGTCATGTCGCGTGGAGCATTGCTCCGGGCTCCGAAATACCAGCTACGGATTGTCGATAATGTCGATGATCATTCTGACGGATCGTTTGGAACCTCTGGGTCTGCGGAGGGACTTTGCTTCTCTCTGTATTTTGTACCGAATGTTCCATGGGGAGTGCTCTGAATAACAGAGATGATTACATCATCTCGTTTTTAGTAGTAGAGTTCATCCATACTACCTGGAGCCACTGCGTTCATCCACAGTGCGTTTCCACAGTCCTTTTTGCCACGTACCATCCGGCTTTGGAATGAGCTCCCTTCCAGGGTGTTTCCCAAGCGCTATGACATGTCCTTTTTCTTAACGGTAGGCAGCGACTTGGCTTTGCCCCTGGCATTGCTGAAGTCTGTGGGCGACGGTAACCACTCACCATGAGGTGGGCCGTATGCTCATCTGCATACAACGGCAATAAAAAAAACATTAATATTATCAAATTACAGATCAATTAGTAAAAGTATTAATTACTAGCTGACCCGGCAGACTTCGTAGTGCCTCATTCGATAAATAAAATACACATCAAGGGGACACATCAAAGGAAAAAATATATTGTTTGTTTTTATATAATTCCGAGCTTTTTTATATTTTCTCACCTTTTAAACCTTCTCTGGACTTCCACAAATAATTCAATACCAAAATTTGCCAAATCGGTCCAGCCGTTCTCGAGTTTTAGCGAGACTAACGAACAGCAATTCATTTTTATATATATTAATTATTAATTAATTAATTAATTATTTACTTTCAGGAACAAAACGATTTCAGCATGGACGAGAAATCTAGATTTAACATTATACCGGAAGCCTTCAATTGATACTATGATACTCGTAGATAAACATTGTACATATATTTGCAATAAATAAGTTAGCATTTTTAGTTTTTCATTTTGATAGTGTTAGTTGAACCATATCAGTCCACAGCGGATATGATGTTAAGCCGTTACTGAAGTCTATCATCACAACTACTACTAATAGCCGCTTCCCTTATGTCATGAAGATACTTCATTTATACTAAGATCAATATTTTTTTAAGAATGGCCATCAACAAAAACATATTATAATTCACAGTTTTTAACGCAATCCCAAGAATTAAATGGTGGTGTAACGATATTTATGACTCAAACAATTGAAAATGTAACTAAATGGGGTAGTATTTTAAAAACGTAAAATTCTAAAATAACTCGACCAAAACCTAATGTTGCGTTAATGACCTTGACAACAGTGAGTACCGCTTAAAATCGTTTAATTGAAAATGCTTAATGATATCTTCGTTATCAAAATACACTCAATTTTTCCTCTTGACTGATATTTGTTGCAATTACTTAAAATTGTGTTAATTGCTTAGTTGTGATAATAATAAAATATGCTGAAGGTTTCATTACCCACAATTTGTTTACGATAACTCGATCTTCCATAAGTTGAAGTCGTCGTGGCCTAAAGGATAAGACGTCCGGACCTTGTTGAGCGATGCACCAGTGTTCGAATCTCAGGGCGGTACCAATTTTTCTAATGAAATACGTAATCAACAAATGTTCACGATTGACTCCCACGGTGAAGGAATAACGTCGTGCAAGCGTAAAAGTTAACTCAAATTTGTATGAAGTTATAACATTTGCCTACGTTTGCCGCTAGCGATGCTGTTCCAACGGTTAAAGTTAAAAATCAAACCTACAAAATTATAATTTGCGTAATTACTGTTGGTAGGACCTCTTGTGAGTCTGCACGGGTAGGTACCACCTCCCTGCCTATTTCTGCGGTGAAGCAGTAATGCGTTTCGGTTTGCAGGGTGGGGCAGCCGTTGTAACTATACTGAGACCTTAGAGCTTATATCTCAAAGTGGGTGGCGCATTTACGTTGTAGATGTCTATGGGCACCAGTAACCACTTAACACCAGGTGGGCTGTGAGCTCGTCCACCCAACTAAATAATAAAAAAAAAGTCCATATGATGCAAGATAAGTTAAGAGATAGGCTTCATGCTAATGCTCTTAGAATTATTTTCTCTAAGAATCCTTCCGTTCGATATTAATAGAGATGTAACAAGCATCTACATAATCATGAAATGCAAATTTAATTAAATTAGACTTTTATCTACTATCGGATTTAAGTACTATTCACTATATGTACTTAGTCTGGCCATAAATACTGTTACAATTAAAAATAAACAGAATATTACATTTGAATTTGGGATCTGTCATTTTTATATGATTGCTCATTGAGTTTTCTCATTTTGGCGCTAATACATTGTACAATATTTTGCGATATTAAAATGGAGTGGGGTGATAAAAAGAACCGAATCGCTGTGATTGCATTACACAAAGTAGGTATGAAGCCAAATGCAATTTTTAAAACTCTCCATACGCTTGTTATTAGTAAAATGTTTGTGTACCCGGCTATTAATAGGTGCAATGAGACCTTCTCTGTTTGTGACAGAAAAAGATCTGGCCGTCCTCGTAGTGTTCGTACGAAAAAGGTGGTTTCGAAGAAATCCTGTCCGAAAGCAAAAGATTTTATCTCGGGAGATGAAGATAGCACCTAGAACCATGTCGCGTATTTTAAAATATGACTTAGGACTTGCAGCCTATAAGAGACGTACTGGTCATTTCTTAACCAGCAACCCCAGTTGCGGGGAAGCAATCCAGTGAACGTTCATCGTCCATTTGTGAACCAAACTGGTGATACCGTCTTTGTTTATAGTGTTGTTATTTTAAATCTCACTTTCATTGAATACTTTCTCGTGTGTTCGGTATACCTACCGACACACATTTAACAAGGATACCTTACCACTAACTTAAACTGTGTGAACAATTATAACCATTAAAGCTGTATTAATTTGTAGTGAATAAACTCAAGTGTAACAGATTGTAATTGTTTCATTTATTGGCGTGAGTCTCCCAGAGCGGTAATTGGTGGCGCCCTGAGATCCTCCTCACAGAGTCTCCTGTTCACCGGTTGTCTACCGGAGGTGACGTGTCTAGAAGTGGTGCGACTCGGCCCCGTGTCTCTCGACCCATAGACCACCTTTTGGGGAGTGACGCGACTGGGCCTCATGTAACATCGGCATACCAGGGACACCCTTAGACACAGACACGTTATAAGAATTCAATTTAAAAGAGAATAGGGTGGTAAAATCGAAACAACTACTGAAGCGGTACGCAAAGGGAGGTCATAAAAAAATTTTGTTTACGGATGAGAATTTTTTTACAATTGAGCAACATTTTAACAAAGAAAATGACCGTATTTATGCTCAAAGCTCTAAGGAAGCTTCCTAATTAGTCGACAGAGTGGAACGTGGGCACTATCCGACTTCAGTGATGGTTTGGTGGGGTATTAGCTATGAAGGAGTGACTGAGCCATACTTTTGTGAAAAAGGTATCAAAACATCGGCACAAGTGTATCAAGATACCATTCTTAAGAAGGTAGTAAAGCCCCTTAACAACACCTTTTTCAATAATCAAGAATGGTCCTTCCAGCAAGACTCGGCGCCAGGTCATAAAGCTCGGTCTACGCAGTTTTAGTTGGAAACGAACGTTTCGGACTTCATCAGAGCTGAAGACTGGCCGTCGTCTAGTCCCGATCTTAATCCGCTGGATTATGATTTATGGTCAGTTTTAGAGAGTACGGCTTGCTCTAAACGCTATGATAATTTGGAGTCCCTAAAACAATCCGTACGATTGGCAGTGAAAAAATTTCCCATGGAAAGAGTGCGTGCTTCTATTGATAATAACTGGCCACAACGTTTAAAGGCCTGTATTGCAGCCAATGGAGACCACTTCGAATAAGCTTTTTATACTTTACATTGTTTTATATTTATGTATTAAACTAACACACTGTAAAAATAATAAATGTTATTTGCAATAGATTTTTTTTCCTTTGTCACAGTATTTATGGCAAGACTAGGTATACAAGGTATTATTCGATACTTTTTTTTAAAATACTTGCTTCATATTGNAAAGGCCTGTATTGCAGCCAATGGAGACCACTTCGAATAAGCTTTTTATACTTTACATTGTTTTATATTTATGTATTAAACTAACACACTGTAAAAATAATAAATGTTATTTGCAATAGATTTTTTTTCCTTTGTCACAGTATTTATGGCAAGACTAGGTATACAAGGTATTATTCGATACTTTTTTTTAAAATACTTGCTTCATATTGTTTTACCTATAAGGGCGACGTGTCCACGGAGTGACCATTTTGTTTTAAACAAGAAAAAAATGTATGAGTTGAAATTCATAAAACTTTACATAACACCGATTATTAAAATCTGTTATTGCCGCTGTGTTTACAATAATTATAATTGTATCATAATGATGTGAATTGTTAACAAGTAGGTAAGTGTCATTAATGAAAAACAATGGATGTTATCGTCGAATTTTGCTTTATTTGATTAACAGATATCGTATTTTTAGAAAGGCCAACTGCTGCCAGTTCTGAGTCCGTAGATTCCGTTTCTGCAATAAAATATGGAAAAAAAACACATTACAATTTGAAAATAACAATAATAAGCATTTCGATTAAATCGTTTCGACTTTTTCGAGGAGAGATTTCGATTCATTTCTAATGTTTTAATTTAATAAATTCTATGGTAGGTAATAAGTTGATATGGTAAGTAAAAAGTAATTACAACTTACCCGCGCTTACCAAATGCGGCATTACCCATGTTCAAGGAAGCTCCAGAGCACTGATTGTTCTGAGCCTGGTTGATATTGTTACATAGTCTGCCAACGAAACGATTGTAACGAACACTGGCAGCGTAGAATTCGTAGGCTCGACTGTGAGAGCAGGTACTGACTCTGCAACCCGGTTGGGGGTTTCTACCACCGTTGGGGTAAAAGTCGCCATGAGCAATGCGATCAAAAATACCGAGAAGACCACCGTCGGTGTGGATTGCCTCAACATAAACTCCCGCGTTACGGTTCAGGGCTTGACTGTTACCACCCCACCTGGGCCCAGCCGGATCCAAACCTGGAAATTTAATGTATTATTATAATGGTGACATAGTGTGAGATTTGTTGGGAGCCCACGAAACATAGTGCTATTTGGCTTAGGTAATAATGCTGTTTCAGTTCACAGAGCGATTCCATTACGACAATTTCCTGAGTTATAAACAAAACTAACCGGTAACCCTGTTGGGTCTGCCACCAGCCTGTCGTCCAGCGTTACCGACAACGTGCGCGCCCAAGCTGAAGCCAATCAAGTGGACTCGACCCCAATTGCCGCCTCCGTTGTTGATGAGCCAGACCAAAAAGTTGCCAAGGAACTGTCCTACACCCGGAACTCCATCGACGGCAGTGTTGTATAGACCGTTGGCAAGACCACGCCAGTCCACAACAATAACGTTGCAGTCGGAGACGGCCAGCAAGGCGGGGCGGATCATGGTGTTCACAGCGGAGTTTCCGTTGCTGTTCCAGCCGTGGACAATGACAAAGAGAGGCAGGTTTCCATTGTAGTTCGAGTTCCGGATAGAGTTGACATTGCCATTTGTAATAACTTGATGGTTGTTTTGGTTACGTCTGCGAACAATTTGTAACAATTTTCAAAATGCTATATCAAATACATATACATGTATGTACATATATAACTTTATACCTTATACCTTTAATATGGTCTTTCTATATAACGGATAAGCTTATAAGCACGACAACGTGTTAGGCGTGTTTGGGAATAAGCAATCGACAATTTATTTTAATGTAAAATTATATAATTTATTATAGTTAGTAGTCAAGGATAGTTAGTAATTTAAAAACATTTTTTTAATCTTCAAAATAATTAATGCTCGACTTACCTGGTGAATAGCCAGTATTGGTTGTTTGCACCGTTCCTTGACATAAGGATGTCTTCCTCGGCCGGTTCTTCCAGG